ACACACACACACACACACACACACACACACACACACACTGACTGGAACGATGAACAGCTCTTCACAGAACTTGTAGAACAAGACATGTGTTTATTGGTCAAACACAGCTGTGTTTTTCACTGTATATGTGTGTGTTCGCCTCATTTGACAGTGTGTATCTGTGTGGCTCATGTTACTGAATAACAGGGAACTGCACTGGATTGAGCGCTTTGGGTTAGCAACACCTATACCATAACTTGTAACATAAACCTTCACATACAGATTCTCCACTGGCCGGTCATTATTGTGGTGCCGAATAACTAAAGCAACATTTACAAAGCATTTCACTGCAGACAATGTATTTTATTTCTCAGTGAAGTTATTTCAGAGGTGAAAACATGATAAAAGATTTATCTTTTTGATAAAAAGATTATGAAAACAAACATTTTTTTCTTTGAAATAACACGCACTGACGAATCATTCACAAGAAGACCAGGCGTATTTATTAAGAAAGCAAATGATTTACTTTTTCAGTAAATGGTTTTGATTTAACGTTGACTCTGCACCGCTATTTTAAACAGAGCAGCTCTCCAAACAACAGCGGTTTATTCTACAGTTAGGAGCCTAAGAATGCCCTATTCAGTGTGCATGAGGAAACGTCTGGATTAGTACATGCTCGTACAAAGAGATTAACAACTGAGGCCATGATGTCCTCTTACTGAAGCATGACTGGCATTTGACAGGTGTGATGTTTACATACAATGCATTTTTTGCATGCAAGAAATGTTACACGTTGGACAATTGGGTGAAAGTGTAGTAAGACACATCATGTGTCATCAAAGACAAATATTTAAGTTATTGCTGAAAAGCTTCAGCCGTGGGATCGGCATTGGTTGCATATCTCACCCGTGAATGCGATGCCTCCAGTTGTGATAGGGATCATACAGAGTCTCACAGAAGGCCAAAGCGTGACGGACAAACTCCTCGGCTTGTGTCTGATCAGCCAGCTCCTTCTCTTTCGTCTTACTCTTCAGCTAAACAGAGAGAAAAAGAGTTGATTTACTTTAATACTGAGGAGAAAGAAGAAACAGAAAGGACAATAAAGAGGAGAGAAAATGGAAGAGGAAAGAGAAAAGAGAAGAGGAATACAGAGAAAGAAATAAGAGGAAAGGAGAGGAAAGGGATAGGAAGAGAAGAAAGAAAAGGAAGAGGATGAGGAAAACAGGAAAAGGAACAGGAAAAAGGAACGATAAGAAAGGATAGAAGAAGAGGAAACAATAATAATACTTAAATGGAAAAAGAAAAGAAGAGGAATACAGAGAAAGGAAGATAAAGAGGAAAAGAAAGGAAAAACGGAAAGGAAGAGGAAATGGAAGGAAAATAAAGAGGAAGAGGAAAAGAAAGCGGAAAGGACAGGATAAGGAAAAAGAGGAGAAGAAATGGAAGAGGAAATGCTTTCATATTTCCTCTATTTTCCAGTCAAAAGAAAGGAAAATGGAAAGGAAGAGGAAATGACAGGAAAAGGAAGAGAAAGGCTAGAGGAAAGGGATGTGGAAAAGGACATGTAAAAGAAGAATAAAGAAAGAGGAAGTGGAAAAGGAGAACAGGGAGAAGGAAAAGGAAAGGAACAGGAAAGGCCAGGAAAACAATAAAAGAGGAGAGGAAATGGAAGTCCAAATGCCCTCTTTATTTTCCTGCCATTTCCTCTTAATTTTTTATTTTCCACATCTCTTTCCTCTAGTCTTCCTCAAGAAAGAAGAGAGAAACATGAAGAGGAAAACAGAAAAAGGAAGAGTAAGAGGAATGGGAAGAAAAGAAAAGGAAAAGGAAGAGTAAGGAAAAGGTAAAAAAGGAACAGATTAGAAATAATAGAGGATAGGAAAAGGAACAGAATGAGAAATAATAGAGGAAAGGGGCATGGAAATTTAAGGCAGAGGAATTAATTGGAAAATGAAGAGGAAAGAATAGGGAAGAGGAAGAGGGCAAAACAGGACAGTTTGACCACCATTAAATAATGGGGACAGAAAGTAAAAAATAAATGGATAAACAGAAAACTTGATTTTGAAGCGAGTTTCAGACCTGCTGGATATAAAGTGTTGTCATGGTGATGATGTGGTTTATGTAGGAACAGGCGCTGATCTCTTCCACGTTTGACAGGTTCCTGTCAGACAAATCACACAGCTGTCAGTGTGGAGAAACTCTGTGCGTGTGTGTGTGTGTGTGCGTGCGTGCGTGTGTAGGTGTGTGTGTGTGAGTGTGTTTGTGTGTGTGTGTGTAGCTGTATTGGACAGACTGTCGTATGACAGGGCCATTAGTTCTAGCTGTCAGAGAGATTCCCCTGCCACCCCTATGATCATAAATCACACACTGACTGCTGCTGAAGCAGGACATCCAGCTGACGCTACAGAGTCTGTGAGTGGACAAATTACAACATCTTACTGAGTGGACATGCATGTGAAATATATGTTCACAGAAGAAGACAATATCGTCCCAGGAGCTACACTAAGGTTCAAAAGTTTGGGGTCGGTTAGATGTTTTAAATGTTTTGAAAAAACTCTCTTATGCTCACCAAGGCTGCATTTATTTGATTAAAAATACAGTAACAATAATGACATTGTGAAATATTATTACAATTTAAAATAACATTTTGCTATTGTAACAATTTTAAACTATAATATAATTTATTAATTATATAATTATATATAAGAATATAATTTATTCCTGTGATCAAAGCTGAATTTTCAGCATCATTACAGTCTTCACGATCCTTCAGAAATCATTCTAATATGCTGATTTGCTGCTCAGGAAACATTTCTGATTAATATTTTTGTGGAAAACAATGATTTTTCTATTCTTTGAATAGAAAGTTCAAATGAACAACATTTATTTAAATAATATATCTTTTGTAACATTATTTAGAAATATCTTTACTGTCACTTTTGATCAATTTAATGCATCCTTGTATGAAACTATGCTGAATAAAACGATTCATTTCTAAAATATTACTGACCCCAAAGTTTTGAATGGTAGTGTATGTCTGAAAAATGTCTCTTTTACATCTAAAAACTGTAACCATCTAAAAGAGTTTGACTAGAGTCATGTTAAACAACCTTAAATAACGTAGTCTATGGGATATCCTCATTAAGTGTGTGTGTGTGTACATTTGAGTAGCAGCTGCCAATCGAGCAATGGCACTGTCGGACCCTTAAAAGTCTCGATGTGTCGCTGAAAGTGGAAACCACGCATGAACCCTCGGCAGCAGGTGCTCGGAGAACTCATGAAACATTCAGCAGGATCACAGGTGTCCAGTTTCTGTTTTTACTGAGATTCAGTGCACTTCATATTTTCATAAGAGACTCTATATGCAAACAGTTCTTTTACTTGAGTAAGTTTGTGCATTTAGCTCGAATACTGATCTGTTGCTGCAATGTTTTTTCTTAGTCATAAAGTGCTTCTCTCCCATCAGGCCCTCAGAATCTGACCTGCAGATGACGATGAGGAACTTGAGGAGCAGGAGGGCCAACGTCTGCTGCTCGGGCTCCAGTCCCTCAGACGCTTTCTGCACACACTGCAGCAGCTGCAGACGCAACACCTGCAGGATGTTATCAGGTAACAGCGTCATGACGGGCGGCGTCTCCTCCAACCTGCAGCACACATGCAAAATCATCAGAAATTAGGGCTGGGTATTGACACAAATTTTACAATTCAATTCGATTCACAATTCACTAACTTGCGATTCAGTTCACAAGCTTGCAATTCGGAACACAAACTTGTGATTCACTATTCACAAACCTGCGATTCGATTCACAATTCACAAACTTGCGATTTGATTCACAATTCACAACCTTTTTGATTTGATTCACAATTCACAACCTTTTTGATTTGATTCAAAATTCACAAACTCGTGATTCCATTCACAATTCACAAACTCGCGATTCCATTCAAAATTCACAAACTCGCAATTCGATTCACAATTCACAAACTCGCGATTCCATTCACAATTCACAAACTTGCAATTTGATTCACAATTCACAAACTTTTTGATTTGATTCAAAATTCACAAACTCGTGATTCCATTCAAAATTCACAAACTCGTGATTCCATTCACAATTCACAAACTTGCGATTTGATTCACAATTCACAAACTCGCGATTTGATTCACAATTCACAACCTTTTTGATTTGATTCAAAATTCACAAACTCGTGATTCCATTCACAATTCACAAACTCGCGATTCCATTCACAATTCACAAACTCGCGATTCCATTCACAATTCACAAACTCGCGATTCCATTCACAATTCACAAACTCGCGATTCCATTCACAATTCACAAACTCGCGATTCCATTCACAATTCACAAACTCGCGATTCCATTCACAATTCACAAACTCGCGATTCCATTCACAATTCACAAACTCGCGATTCCATTCACAATTCACAAACTCGCGATTCCATTCACAATTCACAAACTCGCGATTCCATTCACAATTCACAAACTCGCGATTCCATTCACAATTCACAAACTCGCGATTCCATTCAAAATTCACAAACTCACGATTCGATTCACAATTCACAAAGTTTTTGATTTGATTCACAATTCACAAACTCGTGATTCCATTCACAATTCACAAACTCGCAATTCCATTCAAAATTCACAAACTCACGATTCGATTCACAATTCACAAAGTTTTTGATTTGATTCACAATTCACAAACTCGCGATTCCATTCAAAATTCACAAACTCGCGATTCCATTCACAATTCACAAGCTTGCAATTCAATTAACAAGCTTGCAATTCAAATCACAAACTTGCAATTCAATTCACAAACTTGCTAATTCGATTCAATTCCGATCTCAATTGGTTATAATAGCATTATAATAACTTTTAAAAGATATAATTACATTTCTACTCTAGATTGTTGTTTAAAATATAAACATTTAAATGGTGGCTGTCATGAAAACTTGTTTTCATGATGGATTTGTTCAAACATACATGAAATATGGAAGAAAGGTTTAAGGAAAAATAATATGTAATATATTGCATATATTTAGAAATTCTTGGAATCAATATCAGTTCATCAAAATGAGAATCGATTAAACAATCCTTTTTCAACACAGCATGAATATATAAATGCAAAACCATTATAAAATGGTCCATATATATTGATTACGATACTTAAATGGAGCTTTTGTGATGCTTGAATCCCCTGGGGACTAATTGCATTGAAAATGAAGACCAACATATGGGGTTTGAAGGCATAAGTGACGACAGAACTGTCATTTTTGGGTGAATTACTCCTTTAAAGCACCTCTGGGATGTGTAATTCTGCGGTCCTGACCGTGAAGGCAAATACTCTGCACTACAAGAGTGTGTTTTTCCAGCATCTAAAAGAGTGAGAGAACTGTACAGTAATGAAGCGGATCTGTGTGAGAAGAACAGCACAGCTGTAAAGGAGAGAGACGAATAAACCCATGACAATCCCATCTCTCTCTCCGTCTGTCGGTTCCTGGCTCTCCTCTCGCTCCGCATTACGTAATGTCATCTGACAGCCTAAGCACTTCATGATCACATGACCACAGCTGGGAAAGCGAGAGTGATTTTCTCATGCACTACCGCTGCATAAATCCTTCAACACTCTCCCTCTTTCTGTCCTTCAGCCTCTGTAACGGTCTTATTTCCCACTTTTATCTAGTTCTAGCCTCTTCAATTTATTTTCCATGCACACACACATACACAGAGACTAGGCTCGCTGGATTTTCTCTGTATTGCCGCTCACTTGCATCAGAACGTGACCTTGATGGCAGGGCGTCCGTTAAATACGGCTCATTATCCACAGACATGCATGTACACAAACAGACACATAACCAAAACAATCATGTGATGTGTCTCTAATATTAAACCATTAAATTTAGCTTATTAAGTTTAACAGAGGATAGCAGTTAAAAAAGGCGTACTTCCTGTCTAGTCTAGTGAAACTACTCAAAGACAGTCTTAAGGGTTATTGTCATTAATTAAACTAAAAAGTGTTACTTAATTTTATTACTTAAACTTTAAGGCAACACTTTACATTTTCATTTAGTTTAACTTCAAGTACTACCATTACAAAAACAAAACAAAAAAAACAGCAAAAACACAACAAAATTATTAAAACTTAATACAACTTAGCTAAAATTAAAGTAAAAACCGAAAATATAAAAATAAAATCTAATTCAAAATATTAACAAACACCATCCACCATTTGTAAATTGAACACGTCTAGCTTCCAATGTCATCCGCTTCCAGCTATTGTTAGCTGTACAAAACAACTTGTTTTTCTGCTTGATATTGCAAACTGGTGTTCTTACCATATTATTTTACCATATTATTCTTAATTATAAACACACTGGTTTGTAGCACAAACAGTTTTACTGTTTATAGTACTTTGTTATTCTTCTCGTTATTTCCCTACAGCAGAGAATGAATCAGAAGTCTCACACGTTCACAGAAAACAGCTTACTTCGGCGATGAAAAATAAGGTGGAAAGTAGTATATCAATAATACTAAAATAACACTGGACATAGAACACAAAAATGGTCAAATATCACAATCTGATTGGCTTGCTTTTATACCAATAAGTCTCTTAGGCAAGTTACTTTAGTCTGCAGCCTTTCATATGATTGTGCCTTTAAGCTCAAATTCTCAGGGTAGTCGGGCTAATTCATATGTGCATTCTTAAGTAAATAAAAATATTATTTGTCTCAACTGCAAGATGGGACTTTTATTTCTACAGCTGCGATATTGTATGTAATGTTGCCTCTAACAAAAAGGTGATTGGCTCTTTTAAAGGGTTAGTTCACCCAAAAATTCTGTCATTAATTACTCACCCTCGTGTCGTTCTAAACCCGTAAGACCTCCATTCTTCTTCGGAACACAACTTAAGATATTTTTGATGAATTCTGAAACCCTCCCATTGATAGCAATGTAATTACCACGATCAAGGTCCAGAAACGTAGCAAAGAGATCGGTAAAATAATCCATGTCACATCATGGGTTCAACCGTAATTTTACGAAGCTACAAGAATACTTTTTGTACGCAAAGAAAACAAAAATAACGACTTTATTCAACAATTCGTCTTCTCCGCGTCACCCTGTAGCGCCATTTTGGAGAGTATCCGCTGGACGTAAACAGCGTAT